ATATATATATATATATATATATATATATATATATGCTATTTGTAAAGAGTTATTATCGTTTTTAAAATATTGGTCTTGTGTTTGAGCAGCGGGAATAACAAAAAAAACACTGTTTTTATGGTTTCCTCGAATTGTTTGCCGTTTTACGGTTATCACCACGAGAAGGTAGAAAATCATTCAGATTTTGCGATCACTTTATTCACAACTTATGAAATCGCTTTACTCATTTGTTTTAGACGACTTTCACGTCATCGATATGAACATTTTTATATAAATAAATAGATGTATATGACAGGGACGAGCGCAGTTTTTTATGGATATAATAACTGTGTATAGGTGTATAATTCCTTTTTGAATTTATATATGTGTTCGTTTTTACCGGTAAATGAATGTGCTGTTGCGATGAAGTGATGTAAAAGTTTCATTTTTTTCATTTATTTATTTATTATTTGATGGGTGTTTGACGTTTTCTGGTTTGTTTGTGAAGAAAGTGAAGATGATGGAAAAGAAACATCTGTAATGTAACATCTCAGGTTTCTGTGAAGGAGTATTGCTAAAGGAGCATCAGAAGGAAGTAAAGACGGCGAAAAGGGGAGAGAGAAGGAAGAAATTTATTTGGACGTCAGGACGGCTGTGGTTTTGCGTGTCGGCTGTGTAGAGAGCAGCTGGCATTGCTCCATGGAATGGTTATCGTTAATCAAACGCTCAGTGTTAATATCAACGGTAAAGAAAGCTTGAGCCCGTTAGGAGCTAGTAGCCCAACTATAGCTTCATTGAATTCAAGCGGCAATCAACAGCCGCAAAGTTGGGTAAAGCATCATCGTCACTCGTCATCAAAGTGGTTGCTAAGAGATTGCAGCCAAGAAGAAGAAAGGAGTATCACAGGTGCAGTGGCAGCAACAGCACCGGCATTGTTATCAACATCGTTGTTGTTGGTTAAGAGCGACAACAGTAGCAGGAACTTGAGCTTCAGTAGCAGTAGTGTGATTAGCACAAACAACAGTAGAAGTAGTAGTGAAACCGAGAATAAGGACGGTAGTAACTGCAATAGTGGCAGTGTTAACTGCGGTAGCGGTGATTCTGTGAATAGCGACGATATGAACCGTGAAAGTCGCCATGTTCATGTTGTAGGACTTCCCGAGCAATGCTCACATGAACGAATCTATAATTATTTTTCATCGTAATAGTTTTTTCTATATTGGAAAATTAATGATAAATACTCTGCTATTGTAGTGGCAATAACCTCTCCAAATAAGTGCATTGATTAT